CCAGGTAATTTTTCAGTCCCATGAAATCGGCCAAGCAAAAGTCTGGGACAGAGATTTGACTGCAGTTATCCGGGTAATTCCATGATATATTGAAACTAAGTGATTTGTAATCACTTTCCCCAAGCTCATCAATAACCTCAAGATTATTAACTAATAATTCTTTGTTGGCAAGAACCAAGTCAAGTAGATTGTTTCCTCTAGTTGGTTCTGTCACAAACTGTTTTAAAAAGCAATTCTGAACCGTATCAAGTCACTAGACTCAAGATTTCCTGTCAAATTGTTCCAATCAATTTATCTAAAGTTAAAATCTCCCATTAACACATTTTCATATCTAGATGCCTTATGAATTTCGTCCAATAACAGCTTACTGCTCTCTCTATTAAGGTTTGGGGGCCTATAAATCACACCCAAAATTAACTTTTCACGACCCTCGAGAAACTGTAGCCAGATTCTGTGTCCGATGTTTCTAATCTTATATCTTGTCTAACACAACAATTCAAATTATATCTGACATACATCGCCACTCCACCACCCTTCCTGTTGACCCTATTAGTGCAGAATAGTTTATAACCCTGTATGCTGCATTCAGAAGGCATTTCTCTTTCAAGTTGAACCAGGTCTCTGTTATATCAATATCTATATTACCTGCACTTGCAAGTAATCTTAGCTCATCTATCTTATTTCTTAGACTCCTACTATTTGTATAGTAAACCTTAAAGGAGCTAGTCACTCGTTGCCCTCCACAATCTCTGTTTGTTGATCAATTGATTTGCCTTTACTAGCAATTTTATTTTGAATATTGTCTTTCAAACATATCCCTGAGGTATCCTGGTTATATCTGCTGTTTTCAACCTCATAAGCTATCAGTTTAAAGTCCTAGACAAGTCATCAATTACCCTCTCAATCAAATTGGTTAATGCAACCACTCCAGCCCCAGAGAGATGAACCCCATCCCTTGTCTACATATCATGGTTGCCATAGAATATGTCCTAGTTATCAATGAATGGGATTGCAAGTTCCTTGCAGTACCTGTCTAGCCAATTGCCCTAGACATCCATGCATTGACCACTCCCCTTCTAGACAAGACACTACATATGATTCGGATCCCTCCCTTAGACCTGACTACATCTATGGCTGACCTATACTTGTCCAGCAGCTCCTGTCTCCTGCCATTCCCGATGTCATTTCCACCAGCACTAAGACAGATGATGGGCCTGTTCCCATTGCCTGACATAATATTATCCAACTTGCTGACTATGTCACCAACACCAGCTCCTGGGAGACACCCTCTGTCTGACCTTTCTATCACTTACAAAAAAGCATGGTCCATACATCTTACCCGAGAATCTCCCACAATCAGAATATTCTTACATTGATAAGTAGGGGAGTTAGTGGCACCTTTAATCTCACTAACCACTGAAGTACACTCGTCCTGGAGAACAGAGAATCGATTTCCTACCTTCACATCTTCTCTATTAACCTTCCTTATCATTCTTCTTCCTGAATTGTGAACCACTTGCCACTTTAAGTGGCTGCCACTCTCCTAATCACTGCTGGTAACTTTTATTTTTATTTTATTTTTTTTATTTATAATTTGAGCACACTTACAGAGGTACAAAAAAAATACAGATAAGAGCAGCATGCCAAAGCCACTTATACTATGCATAGCATTACGGGCTGGCTTAAAATTAACTTAAGATTAACTAAGCAATGATGAAATCAGTGAAAAACATTAATGTAAACTGATTACTATAAAGCACAAGTGAGTATTACAAAGACAGGTCATATGGTTGCATGCATTGTTATAAATTCAGTAGAATGGAGTATTCTGTTAGGTAGTGTATTTAAAAAATAATAAAGTTAGATTGGGTTTTAGGTTTAACATTTATGTGATATAATTGTGAGAAACATTTAAGATATACAATTTATAAGGTTCAGTTATTCAGTATTTATTTGGTTTTGGGTGAGTAAGTGATCTTTGAGAAGAGACTTGAATTTATAAACAGGTAGTGTTTCTTTTATTTTTACAGGTAATGAATTCCAGATTTTAGGGCCTTTTATGTGCATTGAGTTTTTGCATAGCGTGAGATGGACACGAGGAATATCAAAGAGTGATCTGTGCCTTGTGTTATGGTCATGTGTTCTGTTGAGGTTGGCAAGGAGATGTTTGAGGGGAGGGTTAATATCAGAGTTGAGTGTTCTATGTATGTAATAGGTGCAGTAATAAGTATGGATGTTTTGTATGGTGAGTAGGTTGAGTGTATTGAATATTGGTGGAGTGTGCTGCCTGTAGTGAGAATTTGTTATCATTCTAACTGCAGCCTTTGTTGGGTAATTAGTGGTCTGAGATGGTTACTTGTTGTTGAGCCCATGCACAAATTCCATAGGTGAGATAGGGGTAAATAAGAGAGTGATATAGGGCCAGGAGGCTGACTGTGGAGCATAGTACCGTATCTTCGATAGTATGCCTACAGTCTTGGAAATTTTCTTAGAAATTTGTTGTATATGTGTATGAAATTTGAGTCTATTATCAAGGTGGATTCCTAAGAATTTTCCCTCTGTTAGCTTTGTGATAGGTGATCCGTTTATCATTATGTTAAGAGGGACATCTGTAGCTCTGTTACCAAACTGAATGAAGTAGGTTTTGTCAATGTTTAGTGTAAGTTTGTTAGTACTCATCCAGGTAGATATTTTCTGTAATTCGGTATTTACAGTATTGGCTAGCGTGACTGGGCTCGGGTGGGAGAAGACGTATGTTGTGTCATCAGCAAATAGTGTGGGTTTGAGTAATGAGAAGCATTTGGTAGGTCATTTATGTATAGGAGAAAGAGGGAAAAGGGCCAAGGACACTTCCCTGTGGGACACCAACTGTAATTGGTTGTGCAGAAGAGTTTGCCCCATTTGCGTACACATATTGGCTTCTGTTGCTGAGGTATGACTGAGGTAGTTGAGGGAGTGCCCTCTTTATACCATAGTGTGACAATTTTACGTGGAGCAAGTCATGGTCAACTGTATCAAAAGCTTTACGTAAGTCAATGAAGATCCCCAGTGGGACTTCTTTTTTCTCTATTGCAGTGTATACATGTTCTAGCATGTGTATAATAGCATCATTAGTATTTTTATTAGGCCTGAATCCAAATTGGCAGGGGTTGAGTATGTTTTGGGAGATAAGGTAGGAGTAGATTCGTTTATGAATTAATTTTTCGAAGATTTTTGAGAGAGGGTGTAAGTTGGATATTGGCCTATAGTTATTCAACTCTGTTTGGTCTCCTCCTTTGTGGATCGGGGTGACCCTTGCTATTTTGAGTACTGTAGGGAAGGTGGAGGATTCAATGGATTTGTTAAAGAGTGTTGCAATGATTGGTGATAGCACTTGACACTTTTTTGTATATAAAGGGTGGTAAGGTATTTAAATCTCCTGCCTTGTTTTTTAGTGCGTTGATAATAAGGGAGACTTCGTATGGGTTAGTCGGAGCTGGGAACAGTGTGTTCGGGTAGTTGCCGGTGAGGTAGTCATTTGGTGGGGTATCTGAGCTTGGGGATTTTATTGGCAAGGTTTTGTCCTATAGTGGAGAAGAAATCATTGAGTCTGTTTGCTGTTTCTGTTGGTGGGAGTTGGGGTTCATCTGATTTTGCTAATTTTATTTCGCTATTTCGTGATATCTTTTTTGTTCCCAGAATTTCTGATAGGGTTTTCCAGGTCTTTTTTATATCACCTCGTAAGTTGGATAATCTGTTCTCATAATACAATTTTTTTTGCCCTTCTTATCAGGCTGGTTAGGATTGACGAGTAACGTTTTTGTTTGGTCTCTGGTTATGTGACCCATTCTGTACTGTTTTTCATATTGGTGTTTTGTATTTATGGATTTGAGAATGCTGGGTGTTAGCCAGGGACTGTTCAGTCTCTTAGCTGTCATCTGCTTAGTTTTTTTAGGGCAGTGCTTGTTATAGAGGTATGAAGTCTTTTTAGAAAATTATTAATACATTCGTCAATATCTGTATTGATTTCTAGCTCAGTGTGCCAGTCAATGTTTGCTACTGCTGTTGTGAAGTTATTAATGGCTGCCTCATTGTGAAGTCTGAAGGTGACTTTAGTAGTTCTTGGGGTAATTTACCAAGAGTTGTTATATGAGGAAAGTAGGTAGTGGTCTGTGGTATTATCTGTAATTATGCCTGATTTTAAAGGGGATATGGTGTTGGTCCAGATGTGGTCAAGTAGGGAAACACTAGTCTCTGTAACTCTTGTAGGTTTTGTTACTGTTGGTAGCAACATACAGTTACTCATTGTGTTTGTGAATTCAGTAACGTGTGGGTCCTGGTCTTGCAGGAGATTTATATGAAGTCACCTGAGAGTAGTAAGTGATCTTTGTTCATGCGTGCATGAACGAAGCTTCAGCCTCCTATTTTCCTCCTGAAGAAGTAGAATCTCCTTCTTAAAACTCTTTAACACTGCAACAAGCCATGTGCTAGGTAACACCCCACGCTAATCCCAGACAGCTTAGGACAGTATGACCACATGTGACCACTGACCTCAACGTACTGACCACTGACCTCAGCGTACTAACCACTGACCTCAGCGTACTGACCACTGACCTCAGCGTACTGACCACTGACCTCAGCGTACTGACCACTGACCTCAGCGTACTAACCACTGACCTCACCGTAGATAATTTACACTATACATGATAACTGTGCTTATGTGTACGTATGCCTAAATAAACTTGTTTATCATGGTCAAATAAACTTTTAAATGTATTTGTATTTTGAATGTGGCGGTGTGTTGGAGGTAAGTAAGTGTTAGGATGTGATTGGTGACAGTAGATGTTCCTCCACCAATAGTTCCCAGCCACCACAGAGACGCATATACACGTCACATCAACACCTAGACTAAATTTCCATACATTCCGGCTGAAATATACGGATGAATTTAGTAAAGCACACATAAGGGATTTTAATGTGTGCAGTTTGATTATGGAGATAGATAAGGGACGGTGGGAGAGTTTGTGTTGTGTCAATGACTGGAGAATTAAAATAATAAGTGGCATCGCAGCCGGCCGAGGCAGTACTCGTCAAGCCGACATTTAAACAGTCGAGTGGAAAGTGAAGAAGGTGTCGGGTAAAGAAAATATGGCTGCGAGATTACTGATATTCTTGGCTGTAGCGGCTGCTGTGTCTGCTGATGATGTTATACAGCTGGGTGATGCTGACTTTGACACCAAAGTTGGGAGCTATGACACAGTCTTGGTCATGTTCTTTGCTCCATGGTGAGTTCATTTTCTATTTTCCTCGCCGTGAGATTATTCGTGTGCTTACTCCATCCCTCTTATGTCACCTCTTGTATTAGTTTAAAATTTCTCCGTGACAGTGGCAATTAAAAATTCATATTTAGGAAGGTGTAGATAAGTGAAGGTTGAAGTGTAGGAAGGATCCCCAGTAAATGTTTTACTTTGTTAAATTATCAGTGATTAAATGTATTTTATTTTGCCTGTTATGAGTAATACAAATATTTTAAGGTTCTGGGTAATTTGTTTAAAACTCCTAAAGACACAATTTAAGTTAGTGAGTGGTGTGGGTGCAGGAGATGGGCGCCCGTGTGGGCGTGGGTCACCGGGACTGGGCAAATATGGGCTAGTAAGTTTATTCACGTAGACACAAATACACTTACATAGATTATCACACATAGCAGCATATGTGTAGAGTACCTAGGATAGCCCAAAAAAGTAGAAGTGACTTTTTTCCATTGGAGTCCTTTTGATTTTTTTCAGCTTGCTAACATGGGTTACCTTGAGTTGATCATGCTGGATATGTTGGGTAGCAAACACCTGATGTGCAGAAGTAAATGTTTTATTTCTTTAATCCTTCTCGATGATTTTCATAGCAAATATAAATGCTTAGAATTCCAGTGACCTTGCCGACTTCACCTAACCATAGATAAATTAATTTTCTTAGCTTTTCCATATATAAATCTGATAAATTTATGGCTGGAATTGAATATTTCTTTTTGGTGCAACTCTGGTCTTGTATATTTTTAGATGTACCAGCTTGGAGTATACACAAGTATAAGCAATAAATTCCCATGTAAATTTTGGAAAATTAGAAAAATGCTTATTTTTAGTAGAATGCGTCAAAGGGCCAAGCAGTGGTGCTGCTTGTTACATCAGTTGCTGGATGCTCTGGACCAATCAGTGAACATGTCAGATATGCAATTTCCATATCTGCCAATATTGTTTGGTTATGTTGCATGTTAAGCTAGTTTCTTCCTCATTTGCACAAACTATTATCATGGCACAACCCAGGAAATATTGAACATTTTAAATAATTTACTGCCAAAATATGTAGAGATTAACACTTAATTAACATAAAATTAGTTGCAAACATTAACTTAAGTTTAAAGTTTTCATTACCTAACTAGTTTAAAATCCTTAAACCTGAATATGCTTCAAGAAGAGTGATTGCTGGATGTCAGTGCTTAAATTTTGTAAGGATACACCAGTATATAGCTATGAAATTTTATGTACTACCAGGAGTTTGTTGAAGGGTATGAAAAGATTCTAAGGAGTGTGTAATTGTTTCACCCATGCATTGATCTTTATAGTCAATAGACTGCGGCTTAACGAAGCCCACTGCATGGGCAGTGTGTTCAAACTATTTTTTTCACCAGCCTATTGAGGTAGACATGGCTGGAGCTTAGGTGGTGGATTAGCCAGAAGTGGTGAAAGGGAATTATATAATAAGGCTTCATGCAAAATTACTGTAACACCAAGAAAGACTGGATTGGTGTTGTTCTTTGGGTATGACATAAGCAGTACTGTACTTCAATATGCCTAAAAGTAACATTTAAAGCTACTGTCACTGAAAGGTAAAACCTGACCTAATGGTTGTAATATGCTCAAATTTTATTGTAGAAACTTCTCAAAAGCACATCTTATTTATCTTGGTCTGTTTCTGGCTTAAGTTTAATCTTTAAGAATTAAATTGTACAGAGTAAAATGTGTTATACCTCAAAGATTAAGAAAATAGTTTGTAGTGTATTTGGATTAAGTACTGTAGCTTTAAAAATAGAATAGTTCTAGTAGGTTTGCCAGTCTTATCCTGGCCTGAGTCTTTACCAAAAGGTGACCTGGCATTGGCCCCTCAAGTGGGGGTGTCACTTGTCTTCTTTCTTCTGTCCTGCACAAACATCTTGCTATGGTCCCTTCCTCTGAAGGGTGATGGTCATCTTTAAATCTTGCAATGGCTTCCCAGAGTGGGGGACTGTTGTTGTCTTTGGATGACATACCTTTGAAGCATTTCACTTCTGTTGGAACTGGCCAGCTCCGAGGCCTTCTCAAGGTCTAGGAAGATGACACCCTTGGGCCTCTTGTCCAACCTGATGCTGGCCAGAAGGGTGGTGATGCTCTCAAAGATGCCCACTCTCCGGGTGAAGCTGTGCACCTGTTGGTGTGCCGGGCCAAGCTTCCATCTCAGCCACTCCAGCACCATCCTCTCAACCACCTTGGAGACACAACTGGTGAGAGATGGGCCTCATGCTGTCTGGATCCCTGGGTTTGGGAATTGGTAGGAAGGTGGCTTCCTTCCATCCAGTGGGGAGGTGGCCAGACCTCCAGGACCTGTTGATGACTCCCAAGACAGCGTTGTGCTGCAACGGGCTGGATCGCGTGACCATGCTGTAGGTGATGCCATCCTGCCCGGAAGCTGTCCCATGAGAATTTGAAGGCCACCTGGCGCTCTGTCGATGAAGTCAACATCGGTGTCGTCTTCCTGGCATGCCTCGAGCATCCTAGCCGTCCTTATGGGGAGCAGGTGAGCTTGGAGGTCCTGGATGTCTTGAGGCAGTTGGGACGTCTCTTCCCTGGAGGTGAAGAGTTCCACCAGTCTCTCCACGCCTCTTGCCAGGTCGTGGTGTGCACAAGCCATGTTACTGTGCTTCCCATTTGCCATATGAATCTTGGTCCAGATCTCAGATAGGGGCACACCACTTGAACCATTTTGCAAGGCGGACCCTGTGGGAGATGCGTCGTGTGTGCTGTACAATGTCCCTGAGTAGCCAGAGGGACTCGACAGTAGGGTTGTGCCTGTGCATCTTGTGAGCGAGGTTGACATGATGGTTCTGCTCCTTGACGTCCTCATCATAGAACCAATAATCACCCCTGGGCATTCCTCTGACCCTGGTGCATGGAATGGCCAACTCTGCTGCCTTGTTGAAGGCTGCCTGAAGACTGAGCACCCTTGTCTGGATCAGGTAGTGGTCTCGCATCACTGCTCTATAACCTAGAAACATTGCCAGTCAGCCTTACTGGTGTTCCATCAGGGATGGGGGAGTGCAGGGGGTGGCTGCGGAGCAAGGTGGTGATAATTGCGAATTGAGTGCTGGTGAGGCGAGGGTGGCTTTCCCACCTAGCACTGTGTAGTAGCATCTGGGATAGGAGTGTGACAGTGTTGCTGTAATGGTGGGTCGGCCACCCGTTGTTAAGGGCAGCTTCAGGTATGTCCTCCAGTACCATTGCCAGGTGCCTTCCAGTCTCATTTGTGGGGGAGACAGTGAAGTAGTGGGTGGTGGCCATTGATGTCCCCTGCCACCAGGATCCCCTCCAAGGGGGGGGGAAGGGAGAGGGCTGCCACCTTGGAGATATCCAGGGTAAACCGTGAACTTCTGTAGATGTTGTAGATCATTAGAAGTCCATCCAGCAAGTGCATATCAAGTCCCTTGCTGCAGTCAGTGGGGTCAGCAATGATTGAATGGGGAAAGTTTCCCCAAGTATATTGCTGTACCCCTGGCGGAGTTCCCAGAGCGCTGTAAATGGGCCGAGAATCCTGGGATGCGTGGCTGCAGGTCAGGCAGAGGCTTTGCAAGTGTCCTGCAGCAGGAAGACTTCGATGTCATCCTGGACTGCCGCCTTGATCACCAGGCGAATCTTCTGCCGCAGGCCACAGATGTTACACTGTAGTATTCTTAGGGGCTGAAAGGCAGTCTCTGACTCCATTTCCAACTCTGCCTACTCGTTTTTGCCCACCATTGATGTCAACCCCTGGGTCTGTGTTTTGGAATGCCTCAAGGACTCTGATCTGCAACACCTCCGAAGCCTTCCTGTCCAACACTACTTTGCTGAAAAGTGCACCCAGGAGTTCCTTGCAGGCATTCTTGTCCCTCATCAATGGCAGCGAGGCTGCAATGGTGTCCTCAATGAGCACTACTATGGTCAGTCGGGAGGTGATTGTATCTTCCTCCTCTCCTCCCGGAGGAGCTGGAGCAGCTGTCAATTTGTGTTGGTCTTGAGGCTGCTGTCTCACATACGTGGTTGAAGATCCTGCCTCCATGGGGGCCGGGTGTGGGGTGGGTCTGGCATAAGTGGGCCCCCTTGACTGCTTGGTGGGGGGTCAGTGCTTGGTTCCTGCTGCTTGCTGGTGAGGCATGGCTCCAGTAGGAGGGATTGGCTGCTGCAAGGCCACAGCCCCCTGAGCTGCATCCCTGACCCAGGCGAGTACTGTGCCTTGTGGAGCAAAGCTTTTTCACCGTAGCCGCCTCAAACTTTACTCTGTTGACTACTACTGTTCTGTTTGTTAGGAAATTATAAATCCATCTACAGACTTTTCCTGTTATTCCATTATCATGCATTTTGTGCGCTGTAACACCATGGTCACACGTGTCAAAGACTTTTGTAAAGTTTGTGTATATTACATCTGCATTCTGTTTCTTTAGAGCATCCAGGACCTTGTTGTAGTGGTCCAGTAGTTGGGACAGACAGGAGCAACCGTCTCTAAACCCATGCTGCCCTGGGTTGTGTAACTGATTGGTATCTAGATGTGTGGTGATCAATAGTGCCATTATTTTGTGCAAGCAAGAAATCATTTTTACAAAATTTTCAGTTTCATTGCAAGAAAATTCTAGTATTGTGTTTATGATAATGTGTTGTGTTCTGCATCACTGTAAGTGTTCAAGCTTTTTGTTCTGTGTTTTAGCACCTATTATTTTTTCATGTTTTATTTAACAAATTCACTCTTAGTGCAATTTTTAAGTTCTTCTTTTAGAGTAAATTGTTCTTTTGCTTGTTAAGTGTTGTTTAAGTTGCAGTTAAGAGTTAGTGTTCATTCCTTGATATATTTCTTTTCTTGTGTGTGTAATAATTTTTTATTGCACATTGACTCATTTTGCAATAATTCTTGTGCAAATATTATGTTGCCATTAAAGTTTTCTTGCAGAAAAATTTTATGCAGTACTTGTTGATCAGCAATTGTAATTTTGCAACATTGCTACAGTTTATTT